GCAGATCTGGAAGCGTGATCTGTCTCTGCGAGCTAATGGTACTATTGATCCTTGGGTAAGGATATTCCTTTGAAGTCGCGATGGTGGTAGAGCTGATGAATGTTTCATTAGTATGGCTGCTTCCTGCTGGACATGTTCATCGATTACGCCCTCAACTATACATTCCCATGGAGTGAGCGTCTCTCTATTTCCATTCATGATCTTTCCTGACCCTCTTGACTAGGCTTGACTGATCAACCTGGCTTTTCTTTCAATGTATGCTCATCTGTTGTCTTAATCGAGGAGCCAACATAACATTGTTCCCAAAGGTCTATGATATTCCCGATGCATTGAATCCTAAGGTCACAAGAGATGCCAGTGTGTTCATGAACGGTAAATTCATCTGAGTTCTTCGCGGTAGAAGGGGCTAAGTTCTTTGTTCAGATCCTCGCGTGCGAGCTGCTTTCCATGCTCCGACTGTCGAAGATTGGCAAATGCAATTTGATTTCCCATTCGGTGCTGGTGAGTGTCGTGTTCTCTATGAATATCGACATGTCCTAATCCTTCTTACAGATCCTAACGATGGCAGTCCGATGTCTATTAACATCTTCAACGATCTTGCTGCCAATGCGACCAAGGCGGGTGTGGGGATTATGCTATTCTCTGGCAACGACGATGCTCTAATTCCTCACCACGGCACGGAAGGTGAATTTTGCAGACCCCCATCTCTTTTAACAGCTTCTTACTCCATGACATCGAGTAGTTGCAATCCAGAACACCACCTTTGGCGGTATACAAGGATTTACGCGCAAACCATCAACCCCCTGGTATAACGACCAAGGGAAGCTCGCCGGTGTCGTCCATCAAGAGCGTGGGTGGCAATATGTACTTTTCTTGAATGCTGGCCATTTGGTCGGGCAGGATGCTCCGGTTTCGGTACGCATTCACGGGAATTTATTAACAACATTTGCTAATATCCTGATCGTGCAGGCATTCACATTCCTGCGCGAATTCGTTCTGGGAACTAATCCGCAAGGCTCTGTTGTGAAGAGCAGATCAGGCGCCGTCTCGGTCGTCGGTGGTGAACAGAAAGACCTATCAGGCATCATCCCTGGGCCAGATCCGATATACTATGGAAACGGCGGGGGCGGAAAAACTCAATCCACCTATTTATTCCCAACCGCCACTCGCGCCGCTTGGAAGACGTTTATCGCCACAGCTCAGCCCACGTACTTCAAACGCGATAACAATTAGAAGAGCACTGATCCGTTCCACTGCGACCTCTACTTAATATTTTATTGATGCCCTTCCAGCCCACCTGCCAAGCGCAGAGCGAGCTATGATTTTGAATTCGGACTTTGCACGACGTATACATACCTTTAACATTATTGCATAACCTAGGGCTCTAGATGAGCACTAACGACCTTGATATCTGTCTGCCATAATTGTCTGCCATAATTTACGATGTATTTATTTAACGCTGGATTGATGTACGACTTTCCGAAAAGGGAAATAATCAGGGGTGTGATGTGTGGCAACGGCCGAGAGTGTAGCTTTGAATTACTTGGTGATGTCTGCAGTAAGTAGTCCCACTCTCTGAACTTGTATCAATCTGGCATTTTCACTTTCCCCAGCTGCGCGGCGACGTCGACAGTCAACTGGTTATTCATGAGCGACGGATCCCCTACAGCTTTCTTGTTATGGGCTATACTTGCCTGCATTGTGAGTACTCTGATCTTCGCTACTTGATCGACATCGGCTCATGTGGTACACGTCCTTGCTGGCGTCGCTCCAACTCAGTTTCTCGCCTTCTTATTGCTTCATCTCTGGGCGTATGATCGGTTCAACTGTTTGAAATGGGATTCTGGTAGACAGCCAGGTGCTTTCAAGAGAGTTATGACGTATGTTTATTCTACCGCCTTCTGACCATGAGGGTCCCGATGGCCCGCATGGTGCATTCACATCGGCTCATGCGTAACCTCCTAGCTACTCGTATATAGGGACCCTTCCTCTTCTTGTCGTCTTCGGCGTAGCAATGACGGTTTTCAAGTTCAAAGCAGGTATGTTGCTTTCTTGCTGCGTATCGTGCTGCGACCCCTGATCATCTTCTGCAGGCTATGTTATGTTGGCAGATGGGTCAAGTCAGTGCTTCAACAACTCGCTGTTGAATCTTAATTGATAAATATATAGTTGCCCCGCGTCCATTAGAGTTATGGGCGACTGGTGATAGGCATTGGCTACTACCCCTCTATTTTGTGCTTAGCACGGGTTGGTCTTTGGAGTTGTACGTTTCCTGTTTCCAGATATTTTGCGCACTCTCACCAATCTTTCACCATTGCATCTAGAGTCACACACTTGGAGGGTAATTCCAACGATTACTCTTCACCACTTGTACTGATGTCGGAACAGAATTGGCATTTTGGTTATTCCTTCTACATCAGGGGCCAGGAAAGCGTGAGTGGTTTGAAAGTTGGGAATTTAGGATTTGGTACCTCGGTATATCGATTCTCTCATCTAGACTTCATTCAGCTCACATATGCTACTGTATCCAGGAAGCATGGTGTCGGTTCTGGGCATGCCGTTGGTTACGCTGGTAACCCGACGAGAAATAGAACGAGTCAGTCATTGTTGTCGGCCGATAGTGTCCTGTCCCTCAGTTAATTACTTTCTACTCAGGTCCTGCCATGGATTTTCCTCGCAGGAGCATCCGCTGGCACAACGACAACCGTGTGCTTTCTCTACGTCTTGGCACGCTTCCCCGGGTTTATCTTGTATGTAAAGGACGGGGGTGCAGAGCCTGATGTAGTCGTGCGACTGGCAACATTCTATCAGCTCAATGTGAGTGCAAACTATGGTTCTACATGGTTGCCGATCTAACGACTTGGGCCACCCACTCAATGAATGCAGCGTATTCGTGTGATATTTCGCTTCATGTTTACAGTCCCACTTCTCATGATTGGCATTGACGCCCTCAGTGGACCCTACCCAATCATTGGTAATCCGTAAGTTCTACGTTGAATAATCTATTTTTGCATGGATACTAACACCGCACTAGATTTGCTGTGGGTATGTGTACGGCCAATCTTAATCAAACAAGCTCAGTACTAAGGTTCTTCTTAAGATTTCCTTCTGATGATGGGCGGCATTGGATGCTTTATATCTTCTGCCATCACCCTTCTGGTCAGTACCTTTGTTTTTGGCCGCAAACTTGACAACTAAGAAGACAATGATGTAGATTTTTTTCCCTCGCTCAATCACCCAGGAAGCAGGCTATGGGGCGAAAGCTGCCTCCTCGTCTTCCAGCCCTGCCAAAGCACCCAGTATGACTTCACCTCAGGACTATTATCCCCAGGAACGAGATCAATCATCGCCCAAAATACATTATGGTGATCCCAGCCAGGCAGGAATGCAAATGGGCTCTTTCCGATACGCAAATGACCCACCTGACCATGATGTGGCCGAATACTCTAGAAACGCCAGGAGGTCAGCACCTCGAGTCGCACTGGATAGCGAGGGTGAACTTTCACCGGGATACGAGTCGGACGCAGAAAGCTTTGGGATGGCGCCCTCACCAACAGTGCCATTCCACCAGAGATCGTTTCGACGACCGGACATGCATACGGGGACTTCGCGGCCGGACTCTGGGGGGCGGTCTGATGACACGGTCTGGGAGCGCCCAGACGAGTATCCATTCCCACATACCCAAGGACTTGCCGAGCCCTTGCCTATATCGTCCTTGAAAACAAGGAAGCGCCCTCGCTCCGATGGGCCCTTTGTGTATAACAGTGAAGGCGTTGTCGTCTCCACTATTCCAACACTGCCGAATAATTCAAGCAGAACGACATACGAAAGTCAGTCTAATGGAGGGCCCAGGCAAAGCAACCGGGAACGCGAAAGTCTTCCATCACATCTCCATCCATACGTAAGTGCATCCAATGTGCTACCTCTAACCATCGTTAATTTTCTTTTTGGAAGGTGGTGAATTTCACCTCTCCTATTGACTTGCTCGACGACTCCCCGCCGCAGCAAGTCGAGGAATGGCAGGCACCGCATGCCGTGTAAAAAACAACTACATTCTTCCAAACGTGGGTTTGTATCTGCCGCAGGGGATGGTGTCAACCCCGCACTCCGAAAACATTATTATCCGAGCATCCCGTTCGCCCATTCATATTTACGACTCTGTCGTCTTTCTCGAAGATCCACCCCTTTGACGTATTCTTGATCCCCGTCCTCACCGGTCACGTATCCCTTCTGTTTTAACTGCCTTCTGTTTTCTATCTTTTATCTCTATCTATGGCCTTCATGCTCTCTGTTGCACTATTTTCATATCTATAATACCCCTCACGGTCTTGTCATGCTTGTACTACCACCCATCCTCATCGCACCATCATCCCATTGATATCCGTTATCAACACAAATATTGTTTTCTGTAAAGTTTCGTCTCATCATCTTCACTTTTATATCCTGCTCTAGCCATACCCAACTTGCTCTTTATTGTCCCGTTCGTCTCTCGACGGGCAATCGAGGCTAAAAATACGTATTACATTGTACCAAGTATCTGCTTATGTTGACCGATTCTTTTGTACTGACTACTACCTATCTCATGTCTGACATAGACCATCTACTTTCTGTGATTTCCCTTGCTAGTAGACTAATCCGTCAAGTTCTCCCTCTCCCGTGGTAACTTTACCGACACAATTGTCGTGGTTAAACGTTGGTATAAGTTGCGGCGCATTGAGTCCTCATTTTCCTAAAACGAGGTACTTGGGAACGCCTCCAATTGAATACTCCTGAGTAGTCTTCAAATAGAAATAGGCACTACTACTCACTCGTGTTTCCAGACGGCAAGGGACGACACTTACAACTTACAACTTAAAAAGTCGACTGTCCACTGCCCGGCCGCGGACAGGTAGACTGAGGAGGGTCTCTAGAGTCCAGAGTCCAGACTCGTCACTCCATTCAATAATCAATCATTTCGTTTTTGCTGACGCTCTGAGCAGAATACTGCAAAAATTATCAATGGGCCTGACCGGGAATTGAACCCGGGACCTCCTCGAATTGCGCGTTAGACGCCCTAACAAGGAATCATACTACTAGACCATCAGGCCGATGAAATTAAATATTTTCCAGGCCACCAGATTATCTAAGGGGCTGTTCCTCCGGATTGGGAATGGTGAGAACGCGTCAGGCACTTACGCGTCCTCAGTCATCTTTCCTTATTTCACCATGGACGTTCAACCTTCAACATCCTCTGGAGCCATGGATCAGAGAAAGAAAGACGCGCTAAAGACCTATAGAGAGGTACTTTTCTGATCTTGAAATTATCCCTCGCTTGCAAGCTCACGACAGTACCAGAAATTGCGCGACCATGAAGTTAGCAGTGAAAGCCTCAAAAACCGTTGGTGTCTTCCCGCTGTTCATTGAACCTAACTTGATGGTATTTTTACTTTCTAGTTAGATTCTCGATTAAGGACTTGAACAAGGCTTATGACAAGACAGAAGACGATATTAAAGCTGTCCAGTCTGTGGGCCAGATTATTGGCGAAGTCATGAAGCAGCTGGATTCGGATAGGTGTACGTCTATATTACCCGCGGCAACTGTGATTTGTACTGATATCTTTCTCAGTTATAGTGAAAGCATCCTCAGGGCCACGATACGTTGTCTCTTATCGCCCAACCTTACCAGTAAAGAAGCTGAAGACCGGAACGCGTGTCTCCCTTGATATGACGACATTAACGATAATGCGAATTCTGCCTCGCGAAGTCGACCCGCTAGTGTACAAGATGAGCTTGGAAGACCCTGGAGGTGCATCGTTTGCCGGAATTGGAGGATTGGGCGAGCAGGTTCGGGAGCTGCGGGAGGTATGTCGAAAGAAGACTATACTTCATCCCTCCTTACATTGCTCTAACAAATGGCTGGCACATGAAAGATTATCGAACTGCCTCTGATGAACCCCGAGCTCTTTATTCGCGTTGGAATTAAGCCTCCAAAAGGTGTTCTGCTGTATGGTCCTCCAGGAACTGGCAAGACACTATTGGCGCGTGCGGTGGCAGCAACGCTGAACACCAACTTCTTGAAGGTCGTCTCGTCGGCTATTGTCGACAAGTACATCGGAGAGAGTGCCCGTGTAGTGCGAGAAATGTTCGGCTACGCCAAGGATCATGAACCATGTGTCATTTTCATGGATGAGATTGATGCTATTGGTGGTCGCCGGTTCTCTGAAGGAACGAGTGCCGATCGCGAAATCCAGCGCACGCTCATGGAGGTTTGTTTGACTGGTGCCGTCAAATAATTTCTAATTTGTACTCACAATTGCATCTAGCTTCTCAACCAAATGGATGGCTTCGACTCATTAGGCAAAACCAAGCTAATCATGGCCACGAACCGACCTGATACCCTCGATCCCGCTCTTCTTCGTCCTGGTCGTCTGGATCGCAAGATTGAAGTACCTCTACCGAATGAACAAGGTCGTTTGGAAATTCTCAAAATCCATACCGCTCCTGTAAACAAGGGTGGAGAGATTGATTACGAAGCCATCGTCAAGGTTTGTATCCTATCACTTGATCTCCACAAATATTAACAAGTCATAAATAGCTGTCCGATGGGTTCAACGGTGCTGATTTGCGTAACGTCGTCACGGAGGCTGGCATGTTCGCCATTCGAGATGAGCGAGAGTATGTCAACCAAGAAGATTTGACCAAAGCTGCTCGCAAGGTTGGCGAGGCCAAGAAACACGAAAGTTAGCCCATTTGTTTTCTGGTCGCGGAGTTGCATTCTGATCAATTCCTTTCACAGCCAAGATGGAATATTCCACATAGTTTACTATCTTGTACATACCCTTTTCATTCATACATGTATTTCATCCACTGGTGGCTTCACATCGGAGCATGCAGCGAGCGTAATAAACTTAATTTAATCCATCCAAGGTAATCGTCCACATTACATGAGTATCCAACTATTATAATTACAACCCCAGTCCCCCAGTTTACTATGGCGGGCTTAACCAAAGCGGAATAGGCCACGCTTTTTCTTCTTCTCCTCTTTCCCAGAAGGCGTGGCGGAGTTGACAGATCCCTGATAAGAGTTTGTCGGCGAAGGCTGAATGGGAGCGAATTTCTCTGTACGAGGTGGAGCAAGATTCTTTCCGGGTATAGGCTGCCGCTGCGGCGGTGGTGCGTCTTGCACAAAATACTTTTCATCGTATAGCATCTGGTGCGTCTTCGGCTCCCCTCGCATATCCCTCAGACCATTGGGCAGAGTTTTGGATCCTGCACCTCCAAGGTCGAGAACCTTGAGATCGTCAATGAACCCTTTGGGAGTGACGACGTGGGTTGATCCTATCGGAAGGAAGATGAGTACAGCAAACCACTTGTCGATATAGGCACCGACCAATATAAATGTCTTTCTGCAAGGAACTTGACAACGCGTATGTTTCTCTCATCTCCGAATACGTCATCCCTCCTGCCACAAACACGATAAGTCGTTGACGATTATCAACGGGAGTCGCTCTGGGAGCTTTGTGCCAAGCAGGTTTCTGACTTCGCAAAGACGTTGCCTGAGGTGGAGGTGAGCGGGGAGAGAGGGGCATCGCAGAAGGGGCTTCTTTGACGTAGGGGAATAGGGTAGTGTCCAGTTTATCAGCAATTTGCTCCTACAATCATGGTGTTATACCTGCGTCACCATCAGTGGCATGTAAATGCATACCTCTAAAACAGTCTTTAAAGCAGGTTTGAAACGGGAAAGCTCATATTCGTCCCCAATGTTCACCTTCTGCTTGATCTTCTTTTTCGTATCTTTATCGGTTGGTCCCTTTTTAATGTTTAGAATATGAACAATTGTCGTCGTAAATGAACATACTCTAGAAATCCTGACGCCAAAGTGCACAAGTGCGTTAACAACATCTTGCTCTGCAAGAGTCAGCCTTGCGTGTTGGTACAATCGCCGTCGATCCTCATCTGGCACGCCATCACGATATTGAATATACAGAGCGATGATCCGCACTTTGCGCATATTACTAGAACGATACATTATCAGTCTATTGTAGTTTATAATCTTGCTGGGATGCACTCACATAACATCCCTGCTATCCAGAAGGGGTACCATTTCCTCCACAAGTCCCTTCGGCATTTTCCCCTCGGCCGTCAAACCAGTTGAGCAACACTTCAGGTAATAAGTTCAGGTACGAGTAAGTAGAAAAGTGTTGGGAATGCATACCTGTTCAACGGATGCGATCTCCGAAAGTTTGGCCTTCTCGAAAAGTTCCATGCAGTCTTGCGCCATACTGAGATGCAATGAGAACTAATTGCAAGTAAGCTCCGGCGTATTTTCGCGCATCAAAAGACTCACTTTTTCTCGTTGTTCCTGGTATTGCGGGAGACTGGCAAGCATGTCTTTCATGTCGTTCAGATTGGCGGCACCTTCGCTGTGGAATAAGATACATGTTAGTAAGAAGCACAACAATACAGAAAGATATATTGACCCCTTGAACACGGCATTCTCCTCCAGAAATTTATTGAAGTCGAGCATCAGCTTGTCAATTGCTTCTCTCATGTGCATGTGCCGTACGGCGGTCCAAACAGTATCGGCATCAGACAATACAGCAACTTTGTCCTCGTATGCGCCTAAAGATGACTGGAATTTGTAGCTGCGTCCACCAATTAGTGTGGGTACATCCACCATCCGCATTAGCACGCACGAGTATTTGGTGCCGTCCTCGATGGGTAGTAGGTCATTTGCCATTGCCTGATACGTAAATTCGTGTACAAATGGCGCCTGAAGATCCATGGATCTATCTGTGATTAGCAGAGTCGCCCGGGGTCGGGAAGGATCCACTTTCTAGAATAGGGCGATAAGAAATAAGACGCGTCGGTGTATGAGATTCATACCCCAAAGTCTGCGTTTGAGTTCTTGTACTCTTCCAGGTTGCTTTGCACCATGAAAGCTAGAAGCTTAGTCACGAAATCGCTCTCCACCGATTCATAGGCGCGAGCTTCCGAGCCTCGCGCGAGGTTTGTCCGCCAGCGACTGGATCCTTCTGGCGGAGGCGGCGGGCGATTCTGCGCGACGGGCTTCAATGGGCCGAGGGGGAGATGCGTCGAGGGCATATAATAGCGGATGTACGGGAACTCGTTCAGGGACACACAGACGTTTGTGATCTGCGAAGCGACGCAATGAGGCGGATGAGAGTACTGCATAGGACGTGACGTACCATCTGACTGACGAAGCGCAAGTCCTCCTCTAGACGGACGCGCGCAAGCTTGTATGCGGCCTCCGTGCGCGGTGGGCTGTACATGCTGAAGAAATAGCTCGGCTCGCGTACAGAGAACGCCTGCGCCTCGATAGCTGTGCTGCAGGGTCAAGACGCCGCCCATGCGAGGAATAAGATGCCGACGACGGACCATGAAAATTCAGAAACATCTCCTTCACCTCCGCAAGATATGGATTCGCAGGAGACGTCGTCAGGCGTTCGAGGAGACTGTCCGAGACGCCTAGTGAACGCACGATCAGCTATCAATCAGGCGGGGAACCTTGAACAGTGAGTGACGCACCCTCGACAAAGAATAAGTGCACGGCGGCATACTGCCTACGGCCAGTAAAGTCCTTGATGATGCGCTCGACGTTCTGCGTCGTAGGCATCACCAAGTAGAGCGCCTCGAAGTCGGGCTGGGGTTCGCGGTAGCTCGCAATGGACTCGATCACTGCGCTCAATGATGTCAGCGACAATGAGCAGCGGCGTGGTGACTCTACGACGCACAAGTGACGTGTTCCGCGAGGATGTCGAACTGCTTGAGGACAGCGCCCAGCAGCGCCTGGGAGTGGCTGTCGACCACTAGAATCTTCCACCCCGAAGGGGGTCTGACGGAGCGCAACACCTCCAGAAACTCTGTAGAAAGCGCCATTCAGCATGTATCATAGAGGCTGCGAGCTAGATTGTCATACTGTTCCGCACAAGATTAATCAACGACGCCATCGCCAAGATGGTGGAGAAGGGACAAGGAGGTCAAGACGAGAAACGACCCGTAATAGCTGTTAGGGTTATGTCCTTCCTTTCACGTCTCCATCCCATCACACGACGGCTACTGCCGGTAATAAGCCAATAATAAGCAA